CAGTAAACATCAATTCTTCTATTACCCCGACTTCATAGATGTTAATAGAATTTTAAGCAACAAACACATACAAAACGACCATTCTATAGTACTTGAAATTGTAATAAGTGCTGAGATAAAGACATAAAGGTAAACAGCATTACTATTCTATATGCCACTGAAACGTTACAAAAAACATCAAGTTTAACACAAATCTCACAGCCGGCGCTCTATCTTGACATACATTGAAATATATAGGCCTATACTTTTGAACAGTTGGACCTGATAATGGTGTTCGAGTGTGTAGGGGATTACAATGATCAGAGCGCGCATGCTATTGGATGAAAACATTGTAAAATAAGCACGTGTATTATAATTACTTTAAATAATAGAATTTGAAAGGAAGCCAGTGCTTGTGTAGCATATTACAAAATGACAAGTTATTAAAATTCATTCAATAACGGTGAACGAAATAGTAAAATTCATCACCCAGAGGAAGCGTTGCTGAAATAGATAACAGCTTTGGTAACTTGTTATATTGTCACACATGCCGCTGAATTATGATGGCTTTTAAATGCTTCCTTGAAAATTCTTAAATTAGCGTTTGGTAATCAAAATATGTTAGTGGAATTTTGTTTATCTTCACATGTTCTGACTAGCTAACCAGATGCCGCTATTGTGATGGTCAAGTGGTCAAGACTCCAAACTTGATATAAATCTGTGGTAACCATCACATAAAAGTGGGTAGCGGTCTCTGGATTACTACCTGGATATTGACTACTTAACTGTACCATTCTAACACCAAATCACACTGGTAACTAAGTAACGAACATTAGAGGTTACAACTTTCATAATGGAGCACCCTGGGGTTTCATATCCCTAGGGTTTCATATTGTTGACGACATCACCACAGAAAAAAACTCGCACATTATATATAACACACAAACAGAGATTTCATTCCTTAAGATTACACATTAACTGCTTTTTCACAGAGAATTTATAATGAAAATGTAACGTTCTCTTTCACAGCTTCTATCACTGTTTAAAGTATAATGAGAAAAAGCAGCAACAAGCGAACAGCAAACAAGACAACCTGAGGAGCAACACGAAATACTTGTAGCACTATTTAGTGCATTTAATCTTATAGATACACGTTGACGAACTTTATGGGGAAAATTAACGGTCGTCATCGAGAAATGTGTTTCTGTGTACGATATGAAGCTGGACGTGTTTGATGCTCGTTAGTGTCACTGTGTTTTCATTGTTGTATTCCTTGCTTACATTTGAGAGCGTTACATCACTTACTTTGACTGGCCAAGGTTCACATGACAGGTGTCGTCGAAGACGCTTAATATTCCGGAACACTTGGTCTGATTATCCTTGTACCTTAACAGGCGTCTCTATGTAAGCAATTCGTTTGTTCAAATTTTGTCTTATTTTAACTTGAGTGTGGATTATAAGTATTTTGACATATTGGTATTTTCTGTCCGTAGCAACTTCACAAATAGCATAATATTAGTACAGATAACATATCACTCAAAACCTAAATCAATACAAATACTTAACAAACATATCAATTCCTCTCAAATCAAATACATATTGTAAAAGATACTCCCCATTTAATACTAGAATAAACACTCGCATTCCTAGCAGAATCGACTCAGAATACTGATATAATAGTCAAATTGTTAATTCTAGCTATAACAAACTTCCCTGTAGGTTTCTAAAGAAAGTATATACTAATTATAATAACTTAACAAAACTCTCTTCTGAGTACCAGATAATAAATCCACCTTGTAGTAAACCTCAGTCCCTCCAAGGTAACGAGAGAAATACCCAAACCATCTATGATAAATCTACATAAACACATACCCATACATATAAACTAAATCTGATACACAAACAAGATACAAGCTCTGAAACTATGGAAACACATCTTTGTTCATCGCTAAAACACACACCTTTAAACAAACATAGTCCTCAGCGAGGACATAAAGACGCAGACTGAAAGAACCTTTAGAATATGGAACACTGTGCTTTCTTGAATCTGCTGGTGGAATTGGCTGACATGAGATGCTTAATCTTCCGGAACATCTAGTCTTATACTCCTTGTACTCTTTCAGGAGTCCCCGTGTAAATTTTCTTTTTTTTTCTCTCTTTTTTTTTTTCTTTTCTTGCTGTTTTTTACCAAAACGTCGTTACATAGACGTAGATCTCAACTTTGAAATTACTACAATATATATAGTTTTACTAATAATGATCTGAAAGACTGTAAACAGTCGAACTGAACCCGTATTCATCATTAGCTTAAGCTACGAAATCATGGTCTAAGCTAGCTCCTCAGCTGCCATAACAAACAATATGGCTGCGCTCGATAGCAAGACCATGTGTTTTGTTTACCGTATCCGTAATGCGATTACATGCAAAATGCTGTGAATTATAATATCTATGATAATGGCAATTTCCAGTATAACCAAAGAAAAATATGAAGAACATTACATGAAGATAGATACCGATTATATGAAAAAATACCTCACACCACCCCCATTAGAACGTTTAACTACTAGATAGAGTTGGTTATCAGAAGTACGTAATCAACTACCTACTTCTGATGTTACTCTTTGTAATAGAGTGTATTTGTAACATTTCACTCATCTATCGCCATGCCATACATTCGGGTTGTTCTTTGCTTATGCTATGTGTAATTACAATGTATGCTCACAATCGCCTAAAAATGCTCAAAATGCTTGTGTTACGCATGTCGAAAATTTTTTTAGCTCTCCAGTTTACTATATCTTATATTACAAACTCGCACAAAAATAACATAACAATAACTCAAGTTGACTGGACAATTCCGCTATTGTAGAAGTTATATTTAAAACAGAAAACCTTAAAAAAATAAACACGGAAACATTATAGCCACCTAAATCATCCACTATATATATAATCACTGTATGATTCTCATAGTACAACACAATAATAAACTGTACATGGACTTTGGTGCCTAATTTTGGGCCGCGCCAGAGACAGAGACGAATTTGCAATATCATGTAACGTCATCAATACAACTTACTCCAATTAAATCCCTCCCCACTTGAACAATATTCAAGACAAAATAACGAAATTATTCAAATCACTGCCGTTAAAAATGTTCACTCTAAACAAACTTTCACTCTTTGTTCCCACACTCATTTATTTCTGTAACTATTTCTCAAAACAACTTTCTTTTGCTTTCCACAACTGCATCTACTCTTGTTTCTTTTTCCTGTCAATTACCTTCCAGTCTCTTCCCCTTTCTTCTATCTTCCTCTCAAATTTCAGACATCCTTTACTGCTATTTTGTCTCCTATGTCTGTCAAGGGGATCACCTCTCCTATGCCTTCATTATCTGATGTTTTTATTACAGTGAGGTCATGACTGGTGGGATCAATCTGGTATAGAGCGTCAGAACGAAGAAAACATGCTGCTGCAATGCCTCATAGAGACTAAAAGATTTCAAAAATGGTAAAACGTCGTTCACAATCTGGTAGTTCAAGACTTGGAAGTGATGAAGAGTTACGTCAATTTCAATTGCGCGGTCCACGATGGATAACAACACTCTGCTATGAACGCGACATTACTTAGATTGACCAGGATTAACATAGCAGGCGTCATCGTTGAAGCAAAATACGCTTACTCTTTTAAGCACCTGGGTTTATTCGCCATTTACATATTCAGTAGTCTCCGTTTAACTCTTTCCTTTGTTCATGGTTTGCAATAGGTTTATTGAATTGTGAGTTTGGGTCACGATTATGTTGAAATGTTGGTATTTTCTTGATTTTTTTATGTAAATGTTTCCTTGCTAACTGATGTACATGCTTCATACGTTCTCAACATATGGTCGCATACTCCTCATAACTGGTGTTTTCTGAATTTGGACTTCCACTGCCAAATATATTGTCTGCTATTAAGCCGCCATTATACCATGAAAATCATCTAATGAGAATTCGCTACATGGAAATTATTTTAGAATAATTCTTACAGGATAAACAAAGCTACAAATAATTGCAACCAAACATTTTATTGCAGAAGGCAAAGATATGCAAGAATACTTTAAAAAACGCATGAATGTGTAAGTAATTCATAAACATCGCATGCAAAATATTTTATACAATAATTACGTGATATATAAATAACCCAACAAACAAGTTGAGTCTAATATGAAGTTTGACATATTCGTCATCAGAAAATGTCTGAAGAAATAATTTAACATATCTATTAAAAGTGATGAAAATACATCCAAATTTATCTCCTGATGAACACAATATGGCAGAATACAAGGTTACCAGGTCTACAGTATTGTCTATATGCTGTAGCAGACCATTACTCAAAGTGAAGGTATCAGAGAGGCTACCGTAACACATTGCTAAAGGATAGATATTACATTGTACACCTACCTCTCCATGTAGAGTTTTTTAAGACTTCTGAAAGCAAATCTGGGATCGTGATATTAGGCTTTGATGAATCATTTTGACAGACTTTCAAGGTCAATGCGTCAGAGGTGTAAAAATATTAAAATGACATTGTTTTAAGTACCATCTTCAGAACAGGTGAATAACATAGGGTGTTGTGTTTATAACATACTAAATTGGTGGTGAAAATTGTTTAAGAGCACAATGTTGCTAAGTCATCGATTACATTTACCGTTAAAATATTATTTTAATGATGAAATATATGTACATATAAACAGTCAGCTACAAACATATCATTGTATACAAATTTCAAAGTGAAAAAGGATATTAGTATTCCATGGTGTTCAGTTACATCCAACAACTGAACGTTTCTGGCTTCTGTTGAATAAAATAGCATACAAGTAATAAAAAAGCAAAAAGATCTTCTTCTAAATCTATATCTAAAAAAACAATATGTTTTGATCACGATGCGGCTCCTGGAGTCTGACACATCTCGATACAATCACATCTTTATTCCATCACGAAGTTATTTCAAATCGACACTGTTTAATTTCAGTAACAACATCATTGTTAAACCTTCACGGATGACTTGCTGCTGGATATTTCGTCTTTTTTTACCCGAGATTGCAAGAAATAGATGCCAACTTCGAGCACGACATGAATGACTTCAACAAAACTTAGAACAGACGCTCCAACAAATAGCCCGAGATTGCCTCCGATAGAGGCCAACACCTGGAATTCCTGAAACCAGACACATTAAACATAAATCAGGTTTATCGATCGTATTTAACAAATATCACGGAGGATTCCGCCATTTATTAATAACCAAATGAAATAAAAGTGGCTTCAAATTTCCCATGCGTGTTGTCATTTTTCATAATTAAGCTGCATTTCTTTTCCCGTTTGAAACAAAAATACTGGTGAGATCAAGTTCAAATAGAAAACAGATGAAATAACATAGTTCCTCGTGCAGTAATAAACAACAACAGAAGTAGTATGCTCACAATCTAACTTGATGTTTTTTATATAAAATTGATATTTATCGCAATTGTTTTGTAATAACAATATTTTTGTTTTCGTTAGTTTGAAATAAAAGCAGTTTATTGAGCATTGATATTCAATTAAAAGGTGTTGGTGCTCTTAGTCAGATTTCACAAAAAGATAGTCTATTGTTTCTTCGGGAAGTTTTCGTGTGATGAGGTGAATCAATGAGATTTGCAGAATAGAATACCCATGAGAAATACTAATGAAAGTCCGTTCTGTCATTAATTAACTGACGTCTAGCAAAGATGACTATAGAAAATACCAACTTTTCAACATAAACATAATTCAAACTCAAATCCAATAAAACTATGGCATAATTTGAACAAAATAGGGATCTACACGAAGAATCATGCAAAATAGCAAGGAAAATAGCACAAGCTCTTCCGGAATAGAAAGCGTCTTCTGCTTCATATCAAACACATCCAGCTTCATATCGTACAACGGAACCAACAGACAAACTAACGAGCAGCAAACACGATAAGCTGCATATCGCACACGGAACCAACAGACAAACTAACGAGCAGCAAACACGATAAGCTGCATATCACACAACGGAACCAACAGACAAACTAACGGTCATCAAACACGTCCAGCTTCATATCACACAACGGAACCAACAGGCAAACTAACGAGCACCAAACACGTCCAGCTTCATATCACACAACGGAACCAACACACAAACTAACGAGCAAGAAACACGTCCAGCTTTATATCGTACAACGGAACCAACAGGCAAACTAACGAGCATGAAACACGTCCAGCTTCATATCACACAACGGAACCAACAGACAAACTAACGAGCATCAAACACGTCCAGCTTCATATCACACAACGGAACTAACAGACAATCTAACGAGCATCAAACACGTCCAGCTTCATTTCACACTACAGAACCGCAAGGTATACTAACAAACATCAAACACGTCCAGCTTCATATCACACAACGGAACTAACAGACAAACTAACAAGCATCAAACACGTCCAGCTTCATATCACACAACAGAACCACCAGGTATACTAACGAGCATCAAACACGTTCATATCACACAACGGAACCAACAGACAAACTAACGGTCATCAAACACGTCCAACTTCATATCACACAACGGAACCAACAGACAAACTAACGGACATCAAACACGTCCAACTTCATATCACACAACGGAACCAACAGACAAACTAACGGTCATCAAACACGTCCAACTTCATATCACACAACGGAACCAACAGACAAACTAACGGTCATCAAACACGTCCAACTTCATATCACACAACGGAACCAACAGACAAACTAACGGTCATCAAACACGTCCAACTTCATATCACACAACGGAACCAACAGACAAACTAACGGTCATCAAACACGTCATATCACACAACGGAACCAACAGACAAACTAACGGTCATCAAACACGTCCAACTTCATATCACACAACGGAACCAACAGACAAACTAACGGTCATCAAACACGTCCAACTTCATATCACACAACGGAACCAACAGACAAACTAACGGTCATCAAACACGTCCAACTTCATATCACACAACGGAACCAACAGACAAACTAACGGTCATCAAACACGTCCAACTTCATATCACACAACGGAACCAACAGACAAACTAACGGTCATCAAACACGTCCAACTTCATATCACACAACGGAACCAACAGACAAACTAACGGTCATCAAACACGTCCAACTTCATATCACACAACGGAACCAACAGACAAACTAACGGTCATCAAACACGTCCAACTTCATATCACACAACGGAACCAACAGACAAACTAACGGTCATCAAACACGTCCAACTTCATATCACACAACGGAACCAACAGACAAACTAACGGTCATCAAACACGTCCAACTTCATATCACACAACGGAACCAACAGACAAACTAACGGTCATCAAACACGTCCAACTTCATATCACACAACGGAACCAACAGACAAACTAACGGTCATCAAACACGTCCAACTTCATATCACACAACGGAACCAACAGACAAACTAACGGACATCAAACACGATAAGCTGCATATCCAGAAAGAAATATAATGTCCTGAATGAGGTCACTATTGCGACCGTAAACTTTCGTATTTTGTGATGATAAAAAAGGATTTTGTGGTAAAGTGCACGTTTAACAATAACTTCATTATGTTAAAATTTCAAAGCTTTATATTTTTTCTTAATTTTTATGAAGGCCTCTTATTTAAGTCCAACAATTTAATTTGGAGACCCATAACTGTATTACATCACCGACACAAGTAACCTTTAAATGACAGAATGTAAATATATTCAAGTATCAACCAGATCAACAGAAAATGAATACGTTTTTTTTTTTTTTTTTTTTCCTTTTTTTCTTTTTACATTTTATGTTATCTTCGTAAAAATGGTACAATTCATCATTTAGATATTTATCGCACATTAGTAAATTGCACCGACAATAATTAAATTTCTAATTGCAGTTTCTTGTAACACTAGCTTTAGTTGTTCTATTTAATGCAAACAAACCACGTCAACGGGACGTATCGCAGTGCCTGATTACCTTGAATTTTTTTTCGTAGAATTTTTTTTTTAAATGGCCGTGGGTTGGGTTTAATATAGCTCGTGACCTTGGACCACGATAGCTCAGCAAATAAATGACAGGAATAATGCAACCACAGATGTTTGGTTCTATGTTTGGTGTGCTGCTTATGACTAATAACCTTAAAGACAGTTTTACACGGAGATATAGTAAAGAAGCTTTACCCGGAGAACTTAGTATAGAAGTTTTACATGGAGACCTTAGTAAAGAAGCTTTACACTGAGACCTTAGTAAAGAAGATTTACACGGAGACCTTAGTAAAGAAGCTTTACACGGAGACCTTAATAAAGAAGCTTTACACGGAGACCTTAGTAAAGAAGATTTACACGGAGACCTTAGTAAAGACGCTTTACACGGAGACCTTAGTAAAGACGCTTTATACGGAGACCTTAGTGAAGAATCTTTACACGGAGACCTTAGTAAAGAAGCTTTACACGGAGACCTTAGTAAAGACGCTTTACACGGAGACCTTAGTAAAGAAGTTTTACACTGAGATCTAAGTAAAGAAGCTTTACACGGAGACCATAGTAAAGAAGTTTTACTCGGAGATCCTTGTTAAGAAGCTTTACACGGAGACCTTACTAAAGAAGCTTTACACGGAGACCTTAGTAAAGAAGCATTACACGGAGATCTTAGTAAAGAAGCTTTACACAGAGACTTTAGTGAAGAATCTTTACACGGAGACCTTAGTGAAGAAGCTTTACACGGAGACCGTAGTAAAGAAGTTTTACACGGAGACCTTAGTAAAGAAGTTTTACACTGAGAGCTAAGTAAAGCTTTACACGGAGACCTTAGTAAAGACGCTTGACACGGAGACCTTAGTAAAGAAGTTTTACACGGAGATCCTTGTTAAGAAGCTTTACACGGAGACCTTACTAAAGAAGCTTTACACGGAGACCTTAGAAGCTTTAAAGAAAAGAAGCTTTACTTTTTACACGGAGACCTTAGTAAAGAAGCTTTACACGGAGACCTTAGTAAAGAAGCTTTACACGGAGACCTTAGTAAAGAAGATTTACACGGAGACCTTAGTAAAGAAGCTTTACACGGAGACCTTAGTAAAGAAGCTTTACACGGAGACCTTAGTAAAGAAGATTTACACGGAGACCTTAGTAAAGACGCTTTACACGGAGATCTATGTAAAGAAGCTTTACACGGAGACCTTAGTAAAGAAGATTTACACGGAGACCTTAGTAAAGACGCTTTACACGGAGACCTTAGTAAAGAAGCTTTACACGGAGACCTTAGTAAAGAAGATTTACACGGAGACCTTAGTAAAGACGCTTTACACGGAGATCTATGTAAAGAAGCTTTACACGGAGACCTTAGTAAAGAAGTTTTACACGGAGACCTTAGTAAAGAAGCTTTACACGGAGACCTTAGTAAAGAAGCTTTACACGGAGACCTTAATAAAGAAGCTTTACACGGAGACCTTAGTAAAGACGCTTTACACGGAGATCCTTGTAAAGAAGCTTTACACGGAGACTTTAGTAAAGAAGATTTACTCAGAGACTTTAGTAAAGAAGATTTACAAGGAGACCTTAGTAAAGAAGATTTACACGGAGACCTTTACACGGAGACCTTGTAAGAAGCTTTACACGGAGACCTTAGTAAAGAAGCTTTACACGGAGACCTTAAAGAAGCTTTACACGGAGACCTTAGTAAAGAAGCTTTACACGGAGACCTTCATAAAGAAGCTTTACACGGAGACCTTAAAGAAGTTTAAAGAAGAAGAAGCTTTACACGGAGACCTTAGTAAAGAAGATTTACACGGAGACCTTAATAAAGACGCTTTACACGGAGACCTTAGTGAAGAATCTTTACACGGAGACTTTAGTAAAGAAGATTTACACGGAGACCTTTGTAAAGAAGATTTACAAGGAGACCTTAGTAAAGAAGATTTACACGGAGACCTTAGTAAAGAAGCTTTACACGGAGACCTTAGTAAAGAAGATTTACACGGAGACCTTAGTAAAGACGCTTTACACGAGATCTATGTAAAGAAGCTTTACACGGAGACCTTAGTAAATACGTTTTATACGGAGATCCTAGTAAAGAAGCTTTACACGGAGACCTTAGTAAAGAAGATTTACACGGAGACCTTAGTAAAGAAGCTTTACACGGAGACCTTAGTAAAGAAGATTTACACGGAGACCTTAGTAAAGACGCTTTACACGGAGACCTTAGTAAAGAAGCTTTACACGGAGACCTTAGTAAAGAAGCTTTACACGGAGACCTTAGTAAAGAAGATTTACACGGAGACCTTAGTAAAGAAGTTTTACACGGAGATCCTAGTAAAGAAGCTTTACACGGAGATCCTAGTAAAGAAGCTTTACATGGAGACCTTAGGAAAGAAGCTTTACACGGAGACCTTAGTAAAGAAGATTTACACGGAGACCTTAGTAAAGTAGCTTTACATGGAGATCTTAGTAAAGAAGCTTTACACGGAGACCTTAGTAAAGAAGTTTTACACGGAGACCTTAGTAAAGAAGCTTTACACGGAGACCTTAGTAAAGAAGTTTTACAAGGAGACATTAATAAAGAAGATTTACACGGAGACCTTAGTAAAGAAGATTTACACGGAGACCTTAGTAAAGAAGCTTTACACGGAGACCTTAGTAAAGAAGCTTTACACGGAGACCTTAGTAAAGAAGCTTTACACGGAGACCTTAGTAAAGAAGCTTTACACGGAGATCCTAGTAAAGAAGCTTTACACGGAGACCTTAGTAAAGAAGATTTACACGGAGACCTTAGTAAAGAAGCTTTACACGGAGACCTTAGTAAAGAAGATTTACACGGAGACCTTAGTAAAGAAGCTTTACACGGAGACCTTAGTAAAGAAGTTTTACAAGGAGACCTTAGTAAAGAAGTTTTACACGGAGATCCTAGTAAAGAAGCTTTACACGGAGACCTTAGTAAAGAAGATTTACACGGAGACCTTAGTAAAGAAGCTTTACACGGAGACCTTAGTAAAGAAGATTTACACGGAGACCTTAGTAAAGACGCTTTACACGGAGATCTATGTAAAGAAGCTTTACACGGAGACCTTAGTAAAGAAGTTTTACACGAGACCTCAGTAAAGAAGCTTTAAACAGAGACCATAGTAAAGACGCTTTACACGGAGACCTTAGTAAAGAAGATTTACACGGAGACCTTAGTAAAGACGCTTTACACGGAGACCTTAGTAAAGAAGCTTTACACGGAGACCTTAGTAAAGAAACTTTACACAGAGAAGCTTTACACGGAGACCTTAGTAAAGAAGATTTACACGGAGACCTTAGTAAAGACGCTTTACACGGAGATCTATGTAAAGAAGCTTTACACGGAGACCTTAGTAAAGAAGTTTTACACGGAGACCTTAGTAAAGAAGCTTTACACGGAGACCTTAGTAAAGAAGTTTTACACGGAGATCCTAGTAAAGAAGCTTTACACGGAGATCCTAGTAAAGAAGCTTTACATGGAGACCTTAGGAAAGAAACTTTACACGGAGACCTTAGTAAAAAAAGCTTTACGCGGAGACACCCCCGCCCCTCTCCAACATAATAACCTTATTGTTTATGGTGCAATAAATGCTCTAAAGTAAAAAAAAGTGGGAATCATAACTTACGTCATACTTGGCAGACTCTGTGATGACTTCATAGTTCACGTCCTCGAAGTATATGTTAACGGCCAAGAAATTGTCGACGACGCTGTTTAACAGACACACACACATATATATGGTAAACATTGTACAAAAGACACCCTAGTGAAAAACATCTTTTAATACAAATTTAGAGTTAAGAGTAGTCAAACAAGGAATTAATTTGCATTATACAACTCTTTTTGTCCATTTAGAACTTGTAAATGATGCTATGGGTCTGGATTTTAAAGCCTAGGAGGCGAGTAAGGAACATCCAAAATAATAGAGAGATAAAATTCTGGATAGGGAGGTAATTTGATGTGTTTTTATTCACCGAAATAGTCCCAAGTACAACTAAATAACTTTGGTTTGTTTTCCGCCTTACAACACTGTGATCCCATCTGCCTGCGTATATAGAAACCATTTATAGAGACTTTTCAGAATCTTCTATAGAGATATAACAACAAAAATCAGCCTACATCCGGGAACTCTTTCTTATTTAATTCTTATATCTTCAAAGAACAAACAAAAAAGATGGAAGGGTAAGACAGGTTAATTATGCTCATTACAAAAAGAGCAGAATATCAAGGAAATTAGTACAGAAGTGTATGTTACCTTTCAGTAATGAAATTCTTGGAATCTTTCTTGTATATTTCGCAAGCTTCAGATGCTGATGTCATGTTCTTAGCGCAAACCTTCGCCATGAGAAACTGACGCTATAACAACAGCAATATAAGACTGTATCATGAAGTCATGAAGTAATCATCGTAGACATGATGAAAAAAAATCATCGGATGTCTTAAAATCTCTTTCTACCACAAAGATTTCTATCAATTTGACAACATACTTGTATACACATACTCAGTTAAGGAATATACTTACTAGATACTCGTCATGAGGCCAAGTTCTAGACGACAGCGTTTTGGTATACAAAACTTCGCTGTATAACATAAACAAACAATTATAAACAAATCACAGAAAATCAATTAACGTTACACGAACTCCGATTCATTCTAAATCTGTGGTGACATCATGACTTTAAGTTTTAGGGGTGTAATGGAAGGATCTGACCTCGGTTTGCTGAAAAGATAATCACTGGTTAGTGAAAATTCAAATTCCAGTCATCAAACAAACAAGAGTGTTCAATTAACACTTGAAATATACCTGTTTGGCCTGTCTCAACAAATCTATACCTGTGAAATGATAAAAGAATATCCCTAATTTTGATTAATTTATGTTTGAAATTTTCACTAGTCACTTGTTATCCCTAACCAGCATTTAACACTAAATGGACAACGTTTATACATAGAAATGTACCTTACCTACACGGTGTGGGACAGTCACAGTTTAATGTTCCATCGAGCTGTTGTTTCTCAATGTCGAACTGACAGACCATTTCTGTAAAATCAAAATAGGGAGGGAACTAAAACAGTGGTGGGATCAATAATGATGGAAAATAACAAAGTAAAAATGACAATCCATCTCACTTAAATATCACAATGAATTAATTAGATAGATAAATCAGAAACCCAATTATCTGACAATAACATATTGCCTTATTACTTGGAACATTATCGTAGTATAAAACTAGATAACAAAACAAATATCAAAAACAATATTGAAAGGACAATATCAAAAACAATATGATATTGACAGAACCATACATAAAAATATATAATATTGACAGAACCAAACACAATAATCATATAATATTGACAGAACCATACACAAAATCATACCATATTGACAGAACCATACACAAAATCATATAATATTGACAGAACCATACACAAAATCATATAATATTGACAGAACCATACACAAAAGTCATATAATATTGACAGAACCATACACAAAATCATATAATATTGACAGAACCATACAAAATCAGATGATATTGACAGAACCATACACAGAATTATATAATATTGACAGAACCATACAAAAAAAATCATATAATATTGACAGAACCATACAAAAAAAATCATATAATATTGACAGAACCATTCACAATAGTCATATAATATTGACAAAACCATACTGAAATCATATAATATTGACAGAACCATACACAGAATTATATAATATTGACAGAACCATACACAAAATCATATAATATTGACAGAACCATACACAAAATCATATAATATTGACAGAACCATACACAAAATCATATAATATTGACAGAACCATACACAAAAGTCATATCATATTGACATGACAGAACCATACAGAAATCACATTATATTGACAGAACCATACACAAAATCATATAATATTGACAGAACCATACACAAAATCATATAATATTGACAGAACCATACAGAAATCATATAATATTGACAGAACCATACGCAAAAGTCATATAATATTGACAGAATCATACACAAAATCATATAATATTGACAGAACCATACAGAAAATCATATAATATTGACAGAACCATACAGAAATCATATAATATTGACAGAACCATACACAAAATCATATGATATTGACAGAATCATACAACATCATATGATATTAACGTAACCATACAAAAAGTATGTTTTGTGCTACATCAATAATACTATAAAATCTCTGAGCTAGTTTCTAAACGTCAACAGGAATATTTTCTGCTAAATCCACTTTGTTGGACACACGGACAAAGTAGGTGAAAACAATGTACCTCGTACATAAGAACATCTGTGATGTTTTAAAAATAAACTGCCAATCATGACTGGCCGTATCTATCTGATCATAGCCTAAATGTAATGACAAAGAGTTCCTGCATTCATATATTGATATATATATTCATATCTGATTAAATGTCATATTTTTTTTTATTTTTTTGCACAATGCTCTACATGACATCTCGATATTTGATCACTCCCTCGGTTTCTGACATTTTCTATTAATATGAAAAATAAAACAAAACCATTCAAAACAAAAACCAAGTGTTATGTATGGTAAAATTAATTAGAGAAATTAGTTGATAAAAATGAACGCACTTTCGAAATCTTCACTTTCACAATACTCGAGTCTGTCGTATTCGGGTTTGTAAAATGCGTAATCCAAAGTGTTAGGTAGACATTCACATTGGTCTATCACATTCAAGTTTACGCACGTGTTGAGACAAAACTGCAAAAACAAACGAAAGTCGTGTACAGATTGATTTAATTAGAAGAAGAACTTTCAATATATCATTCGAACTGATTTATAACATTCAAAAGCACCCAAAAGTTTGGATAGGGCTTCAAAAACAGCAATCAGAATGTAACAGAATTACAAAGTGGGTGAAATTTTGAAAAAGATGTTCTTCCTCTTTCTATTCCACTAAAGATAACGTTACCAAGGCGTTACTCAGTGCTAGTATGACCTATAAAATATCAACACAAAAGTCCTACAATGGAAAATCATAGATTTTAGACATCTGAAAACCTTAACAAGCTTTCAATAGTTCATAGATTTCTTCCACTATCATATCAAACGATAAAATAGTAAGGTACGTATTCAGAAAACATACATAAATATATATAAAAAAAGACGGACGCTCTGACTCATAAAATATATATATCCTCTTTTCTCAAAATGGCAATATGGTACAATATTAAAACGGTATAATCTGGCATTATACCAGTTTTAAACACCATTTCCTGTAATTAACAATATAATTAAGAATGTAAGGTTTGTGTCTATAAAGCTTTATACGGGCATAACAGATATTTTCGAGATGTTAGTGTAGAAAGTTCGCTAGGTATCCTACTTCATTTTATCTGTATTAACTGCAATAAAAGCGAACTTAAATCTCCCTGCACATATTTTATATTAAATCATATCTTCCTCTTTAGTTTGTAAAGTGACATTGCCATGTGCATGTAATTATACATAGAGTAACTGTAAAAAAATACATACCGTCTGTGAATACACCATACCATTGTCCTGTAGGACAGAGTCTTCACAGTTTCCATAGTTACCTCCCAGGCGATTTATTTCTAACTAAAAGAACAATGGCGGAGTGGTGTTTAGTAAGATAATACCAAGAAGGATTATAATTGTTAACCTGTTAGCAGATGCATGTCGGACCTCAAATTCATTAAGATTGACAAGTTTCATATTTTTACTGGGTATTCACAGTACATATAACAATGCTTAGAAAAAACAATACAATGAAACAGCAATAAACAATTAATTTCTCAGAAACTGTTTCTGTCCCTTTCCATTTTATCTACTCCGGATTTATCTATCTATACTGCCACATTTTTATCAGAAATATAAGCCAAACCAGTAACAATGATTTGTAATGATTATGTTGGTAAAATATCGGAATACTTGGGACTATTAATATACCTATTAACCGTTTTGTTGTGGAAGATCGAATATATTTAGAGTATACTGAGGAAATATGTGGAAGTCTTTACGAGTTATCTCCCTTCTCTTGATACCATTCGGAATATAAGAATCACATTGTATCACTGAGAATTCAATATGAAAATTTATATACTTAAATTTAGGAATCAGGAAAACCAAACTTTTCGAGATGTTGTCACACAAGCATTTTCCAGTAAAATCATTTGCTATTGCCCCATGTTACACTTAATTAATATTGTTTCTCCTCTGTTTCGGGCTCGACGCAGCTAATTCAGTATACTTTTACATTAACCTATCACACCGATAATCTTTTTTGTCATAATTTCATAATTTACATAATTGTCCCCGAGAAAATAACAATTCAGATGTATGTATACTTTAACGATCAGAAACTTTTATGTACCATGACAGGGAAATTCCCACCGTTAGTAAGAAAAATAGTTTTAAATAAAAACGCTTCATGAAAGTTATGAAATGGACAATGACTTTTTCAAAAAAATAATCCCTGATTCAATTTTGTGTGATATGTAAACAATGACTGACTTCCGGTAACAGATTATCATTCGACACCACCGTGAAGTCATGTAGAATTTCTTTATTAAACATGGCGTTAACAGTACAAGATACTCCATAATTGGACATTAAATGAAATGCTAATTATCCTGACCTTTCGTAGAGACATGGTGGTTTCCTGTCGGGAACTCAGTGTCAGACCCTCTACAGATGGGAAGGGTACCGTTTGGGGCTGGTGAACCACCATCTTGATACCATATGCCGAGGACAAAGGTGTGATGTATTCCGAAACCTCTAGATTTAAAATCACTTGTAATCCTGTGGATGATGGTACCCAAATTATCTTTTATCATTCAGAAAAAAATTCAATACATATATTTCAAATCGTCTATAAAAGTTCCGTACCTGTAATTTGATCGTTCTAGGGAAACACCAAGAAGTGTATATATTAATCGGTAATAACACATTTTATCAGCTTACCGTGCAGGTGGCCAGGTTTGCGCGCAATAAAGTCTTCCGACGACAGGGTGTAGCAAGCTCCGTATTCTGAACTAATGGATGGCTGGAAATAACTGCATAACGTGTGTGTGACCATCGAGTGTACTTAATCAACAGCTTCATTACAGAATAATCAATAAAGGATGAACTTATATATTTATATCAAGACAAATAATGGCAAGCGTCCTTTAGATACACGCCAAAGTCTCCATCATCTAATGCCCAATTTAGTGAAATTGTTATGAGAAGAATTTATAACCAAAATAAATTAACAGGCAGATCATTAACAAGGAAACTTTATCGATTATTTTTTCGCCTAGAATACTCGTACTTCTTGATATAAACTAGATATTAATGCACCGTAAATGGTGATGTTCATGACGTTTTTTGTTTTTTGTTTTTTTTTTCTAAGAAATTAGCACCTATGTATTAAACAATACCTAATGAATGACTAAGACATATATTTACCTTATGTTACATCTACGTTTGTTGAAAGTACAAGACACAATCATATCGTTCAGTTGGTGACCAACGTATTGTTTCTCATACCTATTAACACAAAAGTTCTGGAAATACATTCAGGAAAACCATACACCGCTCAGGACCTGTTGTTCGATGTATGTGATAGTTCGTATTTTTGCGATTTAGGATCAACAATTTGCCATGCGCTCATAATAACAAGAAATAAGCGGCTGGAATAGGTTAAAACTTATGAAGGGCAGGATTAAGCGTCCTTTATGTTTCTCCCAACACAATGAGTAAACCTCCGACACACCCACATTTGACAAGTGGACAAGCTCATCCTGTAAACGATTAACTTCCAGTCAAATTAATAATGCAATATTAAACATTATTGGTACAAACACATACCAAAGTATCTTGTTTTACTTTATCACATCTGAATTCTCAATCCAACACTACAATACGACTAAATCAACCACAATACTCATAGATATCAATTTCTTCATAACAATTTAACACACTAATCAATAACCGTTCGCACTGATTAAAGTTCTACAGAACCAGGGAACTTCGGGATTACAGACAGAAATGTCCATAACAGTGTACCAACTCGAGCAGCTTATTTTGTGGAATGTAATGGAGTGTTATTGAGTCTATTGGAGTGTACTGGAATGTACTGGAATGTTATTGAGTCTATCGGTGTGTTCTGGAGTGTACTGGAGTGTTCCGGAGTCTATTGGAATGTATTGGAATGTACTAGAATGTTCTGGAGTGTTCTTAAGTCTATTGGAATGTACTGGAATGTACTGGAGTGTTCTGGAGTCTATTGGAATGTATTGGAATGTACGGGAGTGTTCTTTTGTCTATTGGAATGTATTGGAATGTACTAGAATGTTCTGGAGTGTTCTTGAGTCCATTGGAGTGTACTGGAATGTACTGTAGTGTTCACGAGTCTATTGGAGTGTATTTGACTTTTAGTAAAATATCTATTATGACGCCATAACCATACTCCAGGCAATTTTTTAAAGTGTTGAACTGGACATTATAGTCCCACAATATTGTTTAATTACTGTCTATAAAGCCATTGTTTATCTTTCCAAATAGACAGTACATCGATTACCAATTGTTACAAACTGTAAATTTGTGTTAAAAGTATTGTGTGAAAGAGTTCAATGTAAAACGTTTAACCCTATAACGTATCTTTTATTTAAATATTCATCTTAAAAAACAAATGAAATAAAAACAAAAACGGAAGATATCTTCACGATGCCTCCATATTAGTTAGTTATGTTTCAAACTACACCTTACGAAGTGTTATATTCCTTTCATCAAAATGTGCATTTTTTTCATGTTATCCACAAACTTTCATTATCGCAATAGAAGTATCTGACGTGAGTTTGAATTTCGAATAAACAAGAAACTCGCACAAAAAATGAGAAAAATAAACTGTGGGATATGTCTACATGATTGTCAAATTCCGATAGTTCAATATATTATCAGCAAAATACGTCCTCGACTTGTAAGGATAATTTGGAAAGAAATTGGTGACAATGACGTCCCATTAAAAGACATGACATTAAATTCAAATACTAATAAAAATTCTGCTGATTCATCTGAACAAATAGAACATCTTACTTGTGCATCTTTCTGTATTCTGTCTTAAATTTATCCTTGCGATCTGTCCATCTGTCCTTTGGAACATCAGGACTTTGTAATCTTAGATATTCCTCTTGTAAAGGGTTGGGGTCTGAGAAGTACTCGTCAATCTCGTCCTGGTATTCCTCATTCTCATAATGGTAATCATATTCATACGAGTAGTAGTAGTAATCGTCTTCACTGTTGTATGTGACGTCACCTTCTGGTGCGCTTTTGGACTGAAAGTAGATATGCATAATTAGGATCCAAAGCCAGCGTCGGTAGTTATTAATCTGAACGATATTGTAAATACAACTGGAACCTACTTTTCTGTAATTAAGGGGTACAAATGTATGCATTAATATCTGAAGTTTTTCATTAACAAAAATATCTGAAGTAATTCACTTATAAGGACAATGTAATTACGAGAGTTGACAATTATGTCGCCCTCTCTGAGGTTCAAACTGCCATTCTTTCGCTATGCTTGGTATAAAAACAAACACACTACTACTAGACTTAATCTCTGATAACCGAGGATAGTAAAGTAACCTGTACACTCCACTTCTACAATATGTTTAATGATCCGTAAATAGAATGTATGTCAACAAAACAGCATATCTATTGAAATGTTTCCTAAATAGTATATTACAATTGGCTTGAAACCAACATCCGGGTGACAATTGCATTTTGAAAAGCATGCATTATCTACCAATTATACACCGTACCTCTTTTGGCTTGAGTGTATCCTGAAGTGATTGGGGTGTGTGGTGAAGCATGGATTTCTTTATAGGGTTCATATTACAGAAGGTTATATCTGGATACCGTATGGCACTGAACTTGAGGGAAACTGTAGTCTCCACTGGATATGTGTAGTAGTCTTCGAACAGTGCATACATCTGAAGACAGAGATACGCAGTTGTTCCCAGGAAGACGACCAGCCAAAATATCTTTAACAGCATGTTCTTGGACGATAAAATCTTCGGAATACCATGGACGGATGAATTTTCTCCTAGATCATTAAGAATATTTTTTAGCGACTTGGCGTTGCCATCGGCCATGTTGACTTAACTGAATGAGTCCACTGTTCTTAACACCGAACTGAAAAGAAAGCATATAGTTTTATTGATATATATGCATATTATATATGTCCGCTATGTAATGAAATATGCATTTACATTTTACGCTCTGGACCTTAAACGGATCCTACCATTTTAAAATTTACCGGAGTAACAGGATATGATTTTATAGAAGACATTTTATATTTGAAAGGCAATTCAAGAAACAATTTGGAATAACAACGTATCAAAATGAAATATAAGAAAGATACACAAATATAAAGCCGAGCATTACTAAGTGGTCTGTGAATAGTGTAGGCAGTACATGACTTTGATTTGAAAAGTTTAAATATATATATATATTAGGTAGGTGTGTATATTTAGGAGTGTTTCCTAAAATAATTTAAGGACAGGTCAGTAAACATCAGGGGCAAGCGTTGAGCATTGTGAGCATCAAGAATGTTGCACATTCGAATGAGATGGACCGCAGATCATTTCGGAAGCTTTACACTACCCATTGAAAATGAGACGTGCATGAGCGTAAAGGACAAAACTTGTTATCCTGTTCACTCACAGGCAATTAAATACAATGTGCATTTACATCTTTTGTTTTACACATTTCAATTCATTATATGCACCTTTACTACCGATGAAGGGAAGGTGTGAACGACACACTTACTATAGTATTGAACAAAGTGTTGATACTATTGTATTGAAGTATTCAAATAATCGAGTCAAGTATACAACGACCTCTGTGATTGGTCGGGGGCGGAGTTTAGACAACCTGAATAGTTGATCTGACACCCAATTTGTTCTGGTAGGCGGAGTTAATGTACACTATCAGTTACATAACAATTACTAAGTAATCGCTGGAAAAATGTCCGACGACGGCAACAGTACGCAAAATTTTCTACGTCAGAGTGACCCAGGGTTGGCGAAATATGCGTCAGAATTCAAGAAATGTGATGTCAGCAATCTTAATACCTTGCGATATTTATTACCAAGTGAGGTAAATTCCATGGAAATGCCACAGGTGTACAAACGAATGGTGATAGATAAGATCATTAACATGCAAACGCCAGAAACTAAAAGTGCATTTAAAACGAAAATGACGGCAGATGCCGGCACGGCCGCATCACATCCACCTAAACGGCTGAAGTTTGAAAACACTGTTGATATATATTTTGTACGTAAATACGTTTAGTACTGAGTAACTTTCGTTTTCTCGTTGTACCATCGATGGAAAAGCAAGGTATCATTGGGTGTAGAACGAAACAAATGGGACAACCCAATTAGGTCTGATCTGAAGCCACCTGTGACTTGGACTCTTCCAATTAACCTCTCGCGACAGTCGAGTGTTTGTAAAATGCCGATGTCTGCACAGTATTTTTTCACCTGGCTCCACCCACAATCGATCTAGACTTGGCTCTGCCAATCAGAGAGCTTGTTGCATAAATTTAAGGAATTCGATTGGTGAAGTACTTCAGTACAATACTATCAATACTTTGTTCAGTACTACAGTACTTGAAACGTTCACACCTTCCCTTCATCGGTAGTAAGACATCTTTCAAGTCACATATAACTTACACATTAACTAAATCAAATGATGTTTTCTTTAGCAATACAGCCAGCTGAGTGGTTACAGATGAGAAAAAAAGGACAGCAAAACCGCTGGAATAATTTATACAATACCAACATATCAACATAATCATAATCAAACCCCAATATCCATTTAAAAAATCCACTACCACATTAGTATTTATAGCCATATACTGTCACGTGATCATCTGTTACACAAGTTTGTCAGCTATGAAAAATTCTTGTTAAGCTTTTGTATGAATGTATATACTGATATAATCCTGGTTTTATTGGAGTCTATAAAATGTAATGTCGAGGGTCGCATATACTACCATATAATCGGCGGGTAATGATCTGGCTGACATTTTATGGCAAGCACGAGCTCAAGAATGTGTGAATGACATTGAATTTTATGCAAATTCAATTACTATACAGTTTTATCGTTGAATAATTGATAAATCACTGTACAATAGATGAAGATTGTTGAATCAATACATGTGTCTAAAATCCCTAGAAATCCATATACCAACTCTATCCCCAAGCCAATCTAAATATACTCTAAATTCATACAGAATATTCTAGCGCAAGAGCTTGGCATATATCTGATAAATGTCTCTCGTCTAAAGGGAGTAGCGGGCAATGATGCTCAACAATGTATAGGTCAAGAGTCTCCTGTCCATAATATTCAAGTAATGTCAAACATCCGGATTACAATATCGACCATCACAATATCTGAACAATAACATCATAAAAATAAACATAGATGCACGTGAAAAGGAGCGTGAAATGTGCCCTAAATAACAACTATTGGAAAAGTACGTGCATCACAAAAAACTTGGGAAAATTACTTTTAGGATTACTCAGTGATGTAGTAACATGATTGTGAATGTTTGTATCAATTTTGTTAACTTATATCAATTCAACAGGTTTATGAAACAAAGAATTCATCAACAATTACTGACCTTATATATATATATATATATATATATATATACATTTACATTTTTTTCAGTTTTATGTGCAACAATTTACAAAAGACAAATACCTCGATAATACCTCGATACAGTAAAGTCAAATAATGAATTAAAATGTATTATAAAGCTGTTTCTTCCACATATGACTATTTAGATTTGAAGTAATAAAGAAAAAAATAATTGCGCCCTAAACAATATTATTATTATAATTATACGGAGACTCCTAAAACAGTACAAAGAGAATAAGACCAGGTGCTCATGAAAAGTAAGCGTCTTCCGCTTCAACGAGGACATTAGCAATGTAAATCTGGGTCAATCTAAGTAAGTAATGTAACGTTATCAAATGGGAACAAGTTATACAACAATGGAACCAACAGGCAATTTAACGAGCATCAAACACGCCCAGCTTCATATCGTAAAAGAAATAGAAATTTTCTTAATCACATTTCTATGACGACCTTAAAACTTCCCCATAATTTTCATCAACCTGCATCCATTGAAACGCTATGTTACGAGTTGACGAGTTGACTTATTCACGAAAATTGTGATAATAGGAACAGATCCTAGAATACCGAATATTACAAAAAATGAAATGAAAGATAAAAGAGATTCCTGAAAACAGGACTACGACAATAAAACCGGGTTTAAACATGTCCCCTGAAGATTTATGCTATTTCAGTTGTAATACATTCTTCCTATATACAGCTCGAACGTGAAAAAATATATTCATTTGTTTCTTACTCATTAGAATTGATTGATTAACACAAAACACATGGATTTTTTCAGATGTATTATTCAACGCCACTGAATTCGTAAATATGTGCATAAAGGATGAAAAAGTGAAGAAAGCAAATGTTTCCCAATCAATATGATTTACATTTATTCAAATGATAAAGCGGCTTGAAGAAACACGTTTCCAAGGTAAGACAACAAAACAATCACATTCCTATACAAAATAGCCAAAATACTACATTTACAAAGCTCGAGCGACACATCTTACAAAACCTTATTGACAAGCTATAAAAAGTTAATTCATTCATTCATTTCTTTATTCCTCCAAAATTGAAGAGTTACAAATGAAGATACATGTAATTATATGTTATGACACAAAGTATTTAGAAATATAATGAAGAAAGAGATAGATACAGAGAAACGATAATGAAGTGATAATTACAAGGACATAAAATTAATGCTGACTAACAGCTAGTTAAATGTAAGTAAAGAGGCCTTTTCGGCAAAAATACAACTGTCTTTTGCAAATGATGCAAGAAGACAATCAGTGTCCTTAAATAAGTCTGCTATGACAGCTGGTGGACTTCCAAGAATAGTGGCAATTTGAACCTCTCTACACGAGTTAACTAGTGTAACATAGACATTCACCGGGTAGTCGTTGGTGACAAAAATGTCACGTATATTTAATATTGTGGAACTACTGCAGTCTAAAATACGGTGGGCAACCGCATCGTCGACTAATAGTTTGCACTGAGCACAAGATAGTTCGCAATTTGGAGGAACGCACCAAAGCTTTGCTACATTTTTATAAGTCTGATAGAGATATGGAGAACATTTCGGAAGGTACCATAGAGGAGAGGGACTAACAGCCCGCTGCAAATGTTTAAATCTGCAAAAATTATCACTGTTATTTAGACGTTCACTCCAACCAAAGGAGTACGTGCTGATCAGAATGTTCTTTGTTAGGTGTTTCCAGTGGCATTTAGCCGGAAAGATACCAGTTTGCAAAAATTGGTACAAAAACTCTTGTAAATGATACCGGTGAAATAGATCCCACATATCTAGAATAACGTCAACTTTCTTGCCACGGAAGCCGAAATATACACGAAAAAGTCTCTGTAAGAACAACCCTTTTACTGCTAAACGAGTATCTATATTGCATAAAGCAGAGAAAAAACGGAGCTTTGATAGCTCAATACAAAGGCGAATAGATGTAAACCCAAGCATACTAAGGGCAATCTTATGGACATCTGCTATAAATATATTTGTAAGTGGAGATTTATATAATGGCCAAAATACTACGTTTACAAAGCTCGAGCGACACATCTTACAAAACCTTATTGACAAGCTATAAAAAGTTAATAATGTGTCTCGAGTCGTAAAAGAAATGAAAAAATATGTTTTAATTGATATGAAGCATAAACGCTTAGTGTTGTAGTGTTGTATATATATCGCTAATAACCCAATGTGTCTGGACTATCAAAATATTCAAGTGCCAACATCAAGTAAACACAATTTTGGAAGATATTTTACTGAACTTTCAGTCACTAAACCATAATAATTGGGAAATATCATAAAAATGAAATCAGCATCAAGTGAAGGCAGTTTCATGCTTAAATATCACGATTATTCTATATTCTGATTTCGACACCTGAAGAGAAAAATTCACACACATGGACTTTGGAATAAACACGATTGAAAATCATAATGATCTCATTT